CAGGCCACAGTTATGAAAGGATAAAATACAATTTCTAGATTCACCATATTGAAGTCTTTGAGAATCCAATATGGAATATCAACTAGGCTTTTCCCCCACTTTTGCAAGTGAAACACAGTGGAGAAACACTGCTGTATTCCAAATAAATAGTCTCGGTTTCAACACTAACAGAACAGGAAGGGTACGTGTGAGCGTTTCACGGTAATTCAGAAAAGGATCTTTTTCACCTCAGTTTGATTTCAGAAGCACAACGGCAACGATGCAGCACCATAGACACATTGGTTTCGGCTGTTAAAAGATGGATCACTTTACAAATGCTGTTTTCCTTCCTTAATTTTTGGTCAGTGAAACTAGCACTTTGCTGAACTGTGGAAGAATGCCAAGGTCACACACATTATTCATGATAAAGCAACTGAGCTGATGAGTCTGTGCTTAATTCAAGAACCAGCAAGAGAGCAGACACAGGAGTCAGCCACCGCGGCTGGTGCTCTCTCAAAGGAAGAGGGTCAACAGATGACTTCACAAAGGTAGGTAAATCTATATAGAACACTGAATGCCGTGTGTAAATCCTCATGAAATCCCAAGAAACAGGAACACCACACAATGTATATACTTTGATTTACACATTCCATTACAAAGAAAAAAAGAGACACCATTACAACTTTGTAACTGTTAACTGCAATATAAACCAAAGTCCAGAGTTTGGCAGGTAACTAAAAGGGGTTTATCACTTAGGTTATATAGCAAAAGTGTTGATGTATATTATATATAGTAGTATAAATAATAAAAAAGTATTATTTAAATTAGATCACAGTGCTGCATTATGTGCATAACAGTGTTTGATATAGTATTGGTGGGCTGGGACCTACGACACTAAGGACTTAACTGTCAACACTGGTAAGTCACAATCAAAAGGGGACATAGAGTTCCAATGTTTTCTTTTGGTGGCAAAAAAAAAAGAAAAAAGAAATTAATAATAATCCTGAAGGCGAAAGAAAAAAATACTTCTCCACAAACATAAAAATACATCTCAACATCTGGGCAGCTGTGATCCACCAGAAAGAAATGAGTCCCAATCTGAATAAAGTCAAAAGGCAAAGAGAAATCACATTGAATTTAATCCGATCCCACATGAAAAGCCCTCCCCTGTAGGTCACTTGTACAGACTCTTATTCCTTCTCAAAGAGCCCTTCAGCAGGAGGCTGGAGGCCCTGCAGAGAGGAGTCCCTGTCACTCAAATCAGCTGCAGCTGGTGCTGGACTCAGGGCAGGCAGAGCCAAAACCTTATGGCTTCCACCCCACAGAGCCCACTACCCTGCCTCAGGCAGGGGCACCATTCAACGCAGTGGCCTCTTCCCACTTGTCCCGTGGGAGCACCTGCCTGGGCCAGCAAGCACTAGCCACACTGCATGCTTCTGTAAGAAAAATCCATTCCTGGGGGAGGCCTCTGACACATTCCTTCTTCAAAACTCTGCCCCAAGGTTGCAAACTGCCCCAGGTGTCTTGGCCATGGTTTTCTCAAACTACCCTAGAAATGTGGGTTTGGTTTCTTTTTAGTTCCAGATAGGTGGCCTTACTAAAGTCAAAGTACACAGAATAGAGATGGGAGAGGGAAGTAGGAGGTTGTGGTATAAGGCTGGGAAAATATCTAGGATGCAAACCTTTTCCACAGAGTACTAGATAAGAGACAATTATAGTAGATAAAAATAACTGTCTATGTGTATTTCATTTAAGAAAAAAGAGCTGCAGTCTTTTTCTTAAATGTGTCCAAGGGCTGATAGCAAGTCATTGTAGATATTGTGGTGCTGATGTGTTTGTTTATGGATGTTTTCCAAAGCGTCTTTGAGTTGAATATTGCTATAGTTCCCTGTTCCCCCCACCCTGCCCCATGTGAGTGCGTGAGATACTGAAATGACACACAAACCCCCGCTTCTCCCAGCGGGAGAAATGAAGCAAAGATACCACACCCTGAACAGTGTTCAGGCGAATCTGCCAGACTAATGGATACATATGCTAGTTTGGAAGCTAAAAGAACACCTGACGTTTGGGAAGGAATTAGAAGACTAAAGTGAATTACATTTAAGCAAAATAGTCCTTCACAAATAGGCTTGTGCTTAAATTCTCTACTGCTCTTGGAGGAGGGGATAAGAGAAGGTGCCTTCTGCCCCTTGGCTTGTTAAGAACATGAACAACCTCGTTCTGTAATGAAGTCACTACAAACAGCCACATACACATTGATACTTTCCCCCCCAACAATCAAAATACAAAGTTAAACACAATTGAGCCATTGTTTTGGTTATGCATAATGTGTATGCCTCCAAAAACAGAAGAAAAAAAATAGAAAAGAAGTACCCTCACTAAAGTTTCCCCAACAAGTCTTCCAGAAGATCTGATGAAGGTGCCAAGGGAGGCTCAGGAAAATAACACTTAGAAAGCTGCCCGATGAGGTATTTATGCAAAAAGAGTGGTTCTGGAGTTAAGAACGCACTTTTACAAGATATTTCTCTATTTCTCAAAGAGATCAGAAAAGTAAATCACACATTGCATTTTATTATTTTCTAGAAGAGGCCTCCGCCCCTTTAGAAAAATGAAATGAGGGGAGACAGCCACCGTGGGGGTTTTCACTGGAAGAAGTCCCCTGCCAGAAACAGTGCTGAAATAATCACCTCTGCCCGTGGAGGGAAATCTGCATTGAATCGTCTTGGGTGTGGACGATTGAGGTGGTGGTTTTTGGGCTTGGTCAGGCCACAACACAAATCAAAGTGTGGCTCAGGTTCCAGAGCTGTGAATGGCTTTTATGGTGTCAGAAACTTGGGGAGAAAGAGGGAACAGAGCACTGCACTTGTCTTTACACCTACACCTTGATCAAATATGCTGGATGTATTCAAGTTCAGGTAAAGAACCTGACCTTCCTTATAGGTGTAGATGTCTCCTAGTTTCTCATCAGCGGCCCACAGAAAGGCAGGTTTGGGGAATGCACCAGTTAATTCCTGGCTGATGGAGTCTTGACAGTACCTGGTCCTGCCAGATGGGCTCAGTTCTGGCTCACAAAAAGTTCATGGTCACCTCAGTTCCCCCCTGCTCCTCAACCATCAGATCCTGAGCCATGGTAGTGGGTGTCTTTGTTTATATTTTAAAACTCCCCTCCGTGTGGATGGAAGATCATGTTCTTTTAGAGATTTATTTCTCTTTGGATCTTTGAAAAAGAAAAAATATATATATTTTTTCTTTTTTAGGCAAAGGTAACAAGAATTTCTGATCCACGTGACACTGTCTGGCTGTCTAAATTCAGCTCTCACAATCGAGGTGGTCTTAATTCCAGGTTGGTTACAGTGCTGAGGTGTTAGTTCAGCCCCGCCTTCTTACTGCGAAATGGCATTGTTGCAATAAAGTGTCCGGGGCTGGCCTTTCTAACGCCCTATCTTATCACTTCCTCCTTCACAGGTATCCTATCTCATACCCTCACCAAATAAGGCCCATTAACATGTTTCCCCTTCTTCTGGCGAATTTGCATAATTATTCACTGCCTTTTTTCCTACAACCAAATCACGGTAATGATTTTCTCAAGTAAGTGTCCCATAATTCTCTTGATTCTATCATACACACTCACTACTAAGTTTGCCCTCAAATTATTGCGTCATGTTAAACATGTAAAGACAAAGAGAAAGGACACACTCTTCAGTAGGGAGTCAGAGGGGGTCGGGGGCTGAGTGCAGACAAGGCAGTGGAGAGTCCAACCATCCAAGCCCTACCAGAGCATGAAGATATTTTTATATTGCAGAGTAAGTTCCCCAACAGTGAGAATTTGTCCCTGAAGAAGGTTAAACCTTAAACACCTGCTTCAAAACACCAAAACAAATTAATCCATAAGAGGAGAAAAAAAAAAAAAAAAAAAAAAAAAAAAAAAAAAAAAAAAAAAAAAAAACAAAAGAACCTCTAAGCCTAAGGGCTTAAAAATTAGAGGCAGAGCCTTTTCTCTATTTCTATATTTATATGAAAATAATTCATGCTTCATGCTAAATACATTATTTACCTTACAAGAACTTTGTTATTTTTGAATAAAAAAGTTTGTTTTTGTCGGTTTTTTTTCTCTTTTTTTTCTTCAAAGGAATCCATGCATTGTGGATTAGAAATTTCTGCTGGCTACACTGGCTGAATGTGGAAAATCACTGATTTTGTGAAGATGAAATCCTGACTGACAATAATTGCAAACTCCTTTTTGAGGGCAGTATAGGAGTTATTATTTTATTTATTTTTTTTTGGTCACGTTTTACTTTTTTATGTCTATCAATGTGCCTTGAATCTTTTAAAAATATACCACAACACTAATGGCAGGTTCTGTAGTTTGTTTTGTTTTTTTCCTTCATTTGGATCAAATGGTTTTGTTAGACAGAAAAAGAATCTACATCATTACCTTCCTTAACAGCTACTGTACTTTCTTAGTTTTCTCTCAAGTCTCATCGTGTGTGTGTGTGTGTGTGTGTGTGTGTGTGTGTACACAAGCCACGTGTGCAGAGCCACCTTTAGGCTTATGGCTTTTGGAACATTTTCTTAATTTAATATAGAGCAGACTTCAATGTTTAGCAACATCACTAAAAAGGTGCCCCATTTCTCCTTTGTCCTGGCACCTGACGTACCCGAAGAGTCCCATGTTCACCTGTAAGTTGTTACCAGGTTTCAAAGCTCAGTGAGCTGTGCCCGCTGTGTGGCACGGCCAAGGGCTTCCTGGTACAGTGGGATGCTGGGTGCCACAAGCTTGGGTCTGCTCCTAGGGGGACACAGGTTCTTCCTTCTCTCCAATTGCTCCGTGTGCCTCGACTCTGAGTGCAACCGGAGGAACGTCTGAATTTTTAAACCTAAGGGCTGGGTCTGAACGGCGATGACTCTGCACATGTGCCTTCCGGGTTGCTGCCTGTGTGTTCCCGTGGCATGGAGTTGACATCCCTGTGGATTCAGCCGCATGTTTCTGACAGGCTGTAGGAAGCAATGGTAATTTTGGCTTTTTCGGTTTTGTCCTCAGATAATGAAAAGCTTTTGTAAAACAGCTGAGTGTCAATATGAGTTCTATGGCTTCAATCTCCTTTAAACATAAAATTCTTAAGGGTCCAAAGCAAAGGAGAGGGGGCAAATTAAAAAAGGAAAAGAAAAGAAAGAAAACCAAACCAAAAGAAAAAAAGAAAAGAAAAAAAATTGCTGATATTGCCACAAATCATTAGAAATCTCCTGACATGCTGAAACCAAATGGCCATAAGTTCAAAACAAATCAGTGACTTGTTTTCAATTTTTTGTGGTTTCCTTTTGTTCCTTCTGCCCCTTTGCCGTCCGATTGGTGATGTTGTTCAAACAGGACCGGATCCCTGCTAAGTGCAGGAGCGACCCGGCTGCCTCTTTCATCTCCTCATCATCGCTCTCTGGGGGCTTTTCTGTGCGTCTCTTTTTGAGGGGCAGCGTGTCGCTGGGGACCTTCCTGGCCTTGGCGAAGTGCTGGCGCTTCTTGTGCTGGGATGCGTACCCGCTGTCCCCCAAAGCATCCTTGGCCTCCTTCTGGCTGGGCTTCCTGTCATCCTCTTCCGTTTCGCTGTGGCTCTCGTGGCTGTGGAAACTCCCTTCACTGCCTTCGCTGCCCTCCTGGCTCCCCTTCGTGGCAAACTCATAGTGGTCATCAGCTGAGGATGAGGAGGAGGAGGAGGAGGAGATGGAGTCGCTGGCAGGCGAGGTGCTCCGGGCGTTGGAGGACTTGGCACTGCTATAGTTGTGATCCTCCTTGGGGTCTCCACTGACCACGGGGGAGCCACACGATGGCTCGCTCTCAGTCCGCATCCGGCAGCTAGTGATGCCATTCCTGCAGGGCGAGGACACAGGGAGGGATGCAAGACAGAGGGGACATAGGTTAGACCTTCTCTGACAGGGACACCCAGCAGCCAACCGTGTGTAATCACCAGCAACCTACTGAAAGATGTGCACAATAGGTGGACCTGAAGACAGGGTCCTAAGTCTTGACACCTGGTCTTTACTGCTTATCTCTCTTAACTGCATTTTACTCAATTTGTGTGAATGAGCCTTCAAAACAACGCCTTTCTGAAGCGACAGCAGTGGATGCTCTACCTCTTACGTTAAACCATAAAAATCCAGCTGTGCGTGGTTTTGCATAGCCGCCGGCTCCATGGAGTCAGACACTGCCAGATGATGTTGGCTGGGTACTTCAGAGAAAAAGCATGCTCTCTTCCAAAGCTGCTGCATTAGGAGGCATTTGTCAGAAGGCTAAATCCAGTGCTCAGCAAAGAGATACCTGCCATGTGGTGACAGCTATACACTCACATTCCCTCCCTCCTCCGTTCAATCTACCAATATTCACCAAGCACCTAATAGAAATGCATGACCTTAGGGAGGATCCGGGGAGGCACATGCGGTTGGATCATGTACAGAAGCAGTTGAGAAGATGCTACAGTCTATCAAAGCAAGTCCAGGTTAGATAAAAAAGGGCAGGAGTGAGTTATCACTTCTTGAACTTACCACAGCCTGCCCAGATGATCACATTTAACTCTATAAAGTGTACCTTAGTAGCCTTGTTTTCAGACCAGAAATTGGGTCTGGAATTGGGTCTAGTGATTTCATTAAAGACATACAGTTATCTGCTTGAAGAGCTGCGCTTGGAATCAAAGTCTGACTGCCAAGGTTGTGGTCTCAGCAACACAAACTAGCTTTTTCTTGCAACTTCCCTAGGATGAGGCCCGCCTGCAGCACTCACCAGGCCTTGGACTGTTTTCGTGTCTAGGCAATGTACTCACCTCCCTTATGAGCAAAGTGGGAAGAGTAACTACACCCATCTCCCAGGATGCCTGGGCTGAGGATCTGCATTAGCACCTGCAGTAGCCTGGACCAGCGCCTGGCATGGAGTGGTGGCTGAAGGCTTCCTCCTGGTCGGGCCACACAGTCCATGCATCTGGGCGGCAGCTGTCTTTCTCATGTGCCTGGCACATGGCTGTGAGCAGGTGGAAATCAGAGGGATGAATACCAGCATGAGGGAAGGAGCTAGACGAAGAAGTAGGGCACTAGGGAAAGTTTGCAGGAAGATTTGGCATCTGACCTTGGAAGAGATAGCTGAGGCAGACAGGCTGCTTTATATCCTGGAGCCTCAGCATCTTCATCAACCTTACGGGACTGTGTGAGGATGAAAAGCCAAGTCTCAGGCACAGAGGAAGGTTTTCAGTGGTGCGTGGTAATTCTTCCTTGCCATCTCCTTCTCGTTGCTGTGATGTGCTCTCCTGGGGCAGCCTTGTTTTCTCCTCTGTCCTGGTCAAGAGGCTTATGGGAATGCAGCAATAAAGAGCAAAGAGGCCCTAATGAGAGAATTCCTCAAGGGCTTGCCTGGCCACACAGCCTTGAACTTTGGGGACTGGCCCCTCCATATCTTATTTTTTGCAGATTTCTGGTTTCTTGGGTACTTAAAAATAGCTGCAATAAGGTTACCTGAAGGTACTTCCAAATATGAAACTTGATAAATGCGATAAACTATGCAGCTAGCTCTTCATTGTTGTTAAAGCAAATGAAAATGGAAGTCTTATAAAGGCTTGTATTACAGTTCTCCCGATCATTGTTTTTTAAGGGAACTACTGTGAAATACAAAAATAACCAGTTGACTAATCTAGCATCAAACAATTTCCTAGTTAGCCCAACTACATGTGGACAAGTGAGCCTGGGCTATGCTTGGCCTTTAACAAATCAATTCAGGTCTGAATCTCTCTTGTATTTTAACTTGGGACTTATGACTAGCCTGACTGTCAGTTAGGCAGAGTATGAAGCCTTCTTTGAACATGTATGGAGAAGGAGAAAAGCACAACTGCAACAGGAGGCAATATTTCTGACTCCAGAAACTCAGCTCCTAGCTCAATCTAAGTGAGTGTTACCCAATGTGCTTTATGCTTTGTTCTCCTCTTTCCTGTAAGTTTGAAATGTTCTTAAATAAGAAGTTTGGTGTGTGTGTGCAAAAATATTAGAATCGAAGTAGTGATATTAAATTTTAGCTCTATCCCATCACAAGAGGAAAGACTTTTCACATGAGAACTTGTTTCTCTTTCTTAAATAGAACAATGAGCAGCATTTTAGAGAAGAAGTGCTAGTGACCCATTAGGCTCAGATGAGAACTTTATTCAGAAGGAGATCCATGGATGAAAGGAGAATAAATAAGAAAACTATTCCATGGCCCCTGACTTTGTGTTGTGAGGAGCAGGGTCTCTGGCACTGCCTAGAATCAGGCTGCTGGGATCAATGAGACCACAACCCACCTTGGAACAATTCCTGCCTCCCTCTTTTACAGATAAACAACAAACTCAGAGGACCCTAAGACTTGTCCCGAGTGGCCTTAGTAGTTCTCAAAGGCAGATCAAGCGGGAATTTGCAATACCTCCTGGTTCCCTGAAGACAGGAAGCCAGTCCTTAACATTCACAATACTTCTGGATGAAAACAAACATAAAGACATAACTTTAGGGGGTGAAAATTAAAATGTAAACATATCTCTTTCTCATTTGATGAAATTAACTTTCCCCGAGATTTTAGCATGGGCTTATAATCCATAAAAGACACAGAAGACTCAGCAGGAAGTGACAAGCTCCTTCCATTATTAATAACTTGGAGCAATGTGATTCATGATGGCGCAAACTGGCTGCACTGAGCTGGTGCCAAATGCTTCCCGCTGCAGGACTTGTCATTGCGGATACCAAATGCTTAAAAAAACCCCAGCTATCCTGAACACGTTGGAAGGTGAATTTCTGACTACCATCTCAAAAAACCATTCATTAAAATTAACATGATACATCTGAAACGCCTGCGATTTTTCAGTGTTAGCTGAATTTACACATCATACTACTCACTGCGAACATAAATTAGCATAAATGAAAGGCAACCTGATTTTACTCGGGCCTCTAAGAGCTCAAAGCACATGACTGAACAAAACCACATGATATTAATCTCAAGTAAAATCTGATGTTTATTCTCTAGTCAATTAGATGGGAAATACTGGGCACAGAAAGCGAGAATTCACACTAGTTCAAGCCAAGAACAAGTAATGTTTGTAACTAACAAGTCAAGGTCTAAGCTTATGCTTAGACACGGCCACTTTGCTGCTTTTTTTCCTGCCAGTTAATTACTTGTTCCATTATAGTTAAATGGCATGTGTTGATACCCTTTACCTGATATACTAGGGTTCTCTATGGACTGTAAACCTCAGGCCATTATTTGGGGTAGTTGTCCTCCCAGGGCACAGACTTGAAGATTCTGATCTTTTGCCAAATGTGGAAGGCAGATGGAATCTGTAGGCTTATAGAAAGTAGGGGACTGGTGCAAGTGGAGCACTTGCCTCCCAAACCAACCACAAGGAGAAAAACAAGGTTAGGAAGAGACAAGAGGCTTCCACCTCCAGTCAGCAGAAGAGACACTGAAAGATATTCATCTGACTACAATGAAAAGGATCCCAGGTAAAATGCAAGGGCACATTTTCAAGACATTGCTACACTCACTATAAAATAAAGGGAATCTCAGACACCCATGTAGACATCATGCACCAAATAACCCTCCTCACACAAAATGAAAAATGTAAAAATAGCCTGTGGCGCAAGGAGTAGGCAACTAAGGAGACCAGGGTATCCTTGGAGCAAGTGCCTAGGACTGGAACAACAGCTCCAACTTATATAAGGGGTGGGGTGGGAGCCTGCTTTTGTTGGCTTCATGGGTACTGATGACTCCTCAGGGAAGTCAAAATGGCCTCAAGCACTATATTGGACCCCTAGGCTTATACCATAAGTTTTACAAGAAAATCCTCTCTGGAAGAATATGCTTTAAATCCAAGCCACACAGGATTTTCATGGACAACTGAATAGAACACAGTTTCATTAAAAAAATCATCAAATGAAAGAAATAATCCACCATGAACAAGAGACAACAACAACAAAATAAAACTAAAATCCAAACTGCAAGTACTGTTAATGTTAAACTAAGTAGATATAAAGTTGGTACATTTAAAGAAAGAAAGAGGGAGCTAAAAAACACTGGGCAGGAAGAACAGACCATATAAACTAAGCAGGCAGATTTTGCAAAGTACCAAATAGAAGATCCCAAAGATTTAAAAATATAATCATTGAAATTAAAAACACTCAATGTAGCTAGAGAAAAAAATTAGTCAGTTAGAAGACAGATCTGAAGATACTCCAAAAAACACAGAAGAGAGACAAAGAGATGGCAACTATGGAGGAAAGGCTAGAGGGTGTGGGACACTCAAAGGAGAGACCAGGTAAATCTAGCTGAGTTCCAGAGTAAAAAGAAAACAGGAGATCTAATATTTGAATAGAAAATGGCTGGAAATCTTCTAGTTTTGATGAAAAATTTCTGACTGAAAAAGCCAACAAATCCCATGCAGGGTAAATAAAATGAAATCCATTCTTAGATACAACATTATCAAACCTTAGAGCAGGGATGGTGAACCTTTTAGAGCTTTCAATGATACAAATAGCTTGCTGCGGCATTTGGGCCTTTGAGCATTAAAAAATAAATAAAGATTTAAAGCAGCAGAAAGAAAACACATTACCTAAGAAGAAGTATCAGTTAATCCACATCATGTGAAACAAATGGAAGTAGAATAGTATCTCAAGATGAGGAAAAAAAAAAATCGTCTGCCAACCTAGAATTTAACATCATCTTCTAAAAAAGAGGGCAAAAGCCGCTGCATTCTCAGACAAAAATTCATGGCTTCAACTATACACCCTCAGTTTAGGAACTTCGTAAGAATACACTTCAGAGGAAAAAAGGGAAAATGATCTAAAAAGAAAGGCCTGAGATGTAAGAAGAAA